GCAACAATATTTGAACAATATTTGAGCAGACAAACACAACACTGAGAAATTCTAGCTACAGGTATCAGGACAGCATCCATGTGCCAGGTCATGAGGTCCCCCATTTCCCATCACCGCTTATTTTCATTCAAGAACAGATTATTGTGGAATGTGTGAAAGAAAATGTTAAATATCTATGTCTACTCATTTGAAAATATGAAATTTAATTTAGGTCTTTCTTTAGAGGAAACAAAACATTCGTCTTGACCTGGGTCTTCATGTGCAGAAGTCAAGCTTATATCTGTGCAGACCAGTGTTTTACAAATGAACCAATATCCTGTTAAGGCCACTATGTTTAACAGCCAGAACTGTGAAGATATGAGTGAAACTGCTTTTTTTGTTCCACGGTGGAAGTTCATGGTCATGCTTTTCCTTTAATCCTGTCTGTCACGGTTCCACTTATTCATTTCTTTAGTTAAAGAAATGTCATCTTCTCTCAATTATAAGAGAGAATACAGGATGATATAAACACACGCCATACAATCAGCTCATGTAGATGGTATGAGCCCTTAATTGTCCTGTTTTCAGGGATAAAATGACCTTTCAATATCTGTGTCTGTGACCTCTTAGTAACATCCTTTCACACCGATTTTGTTTTGTATCCTTGAGGAAGGAACCATGGCCTGAAGGTTTGTGTGCCATTTCACACATTGTAGCATTCATTCATAAACAAATTGGAAGCTCTTAGAAGACTAACAAACTCACTCGTTTATGAAAAAGCTTTCAGTTTTCAATTCTGTTTTAATTCATAGATGCTTAGTGAAGCCTTCCTAAATGCATTTTAGTTGTGAGGTTGGAAGAGGGCATCCATGAGCCCTGTTTGGTTCTTTTTCAACAAAGCTAATGCCATAGCTCGTGACCATGAGCCTCCTGGCGGTGCAAAGAGTTAATCCTGAGAGCGTCTTATTAGTATATTTAACTTCAAGTAGGAGATGTAATGTGTGCAAAAGTGTGTAGTAATCAGTGGACATTTCAAATACTTTAAGCTGTTTTGTTTTTTTTTGTTTGGAGGTTTTTTGTGTGGTTTATGTGATTTTGTAAAAAAAAACAAAAAAAAAACCTCTGCTCGTGTCTTAGATTTTTATTTTTCTGAGAGTGATTGGTGAGGTGATTTTTATCCTCTTGCAGGTCTCCGTCATGGCCTGGGTCAGTTGACCTTCAGCGATGGGACGTGCTACACTGGACAGTTTGAAAATGGCCTCTTCAATGGTTGTGGGGTGCTGGTCTTTCCTGACGGCTCCAGGTTTGTCAGTCACTTTTTGCACACTCTGGTTGTTAAACCTTGAAACTCTGCACCTGAAAATTTAAAACCTGCAAATAAGTATGTCGTACAGGAGATACAACCCCAGCCTCCTCCTGAATGAAACGTGTCTGATTTGTTCCTTCATTACTTCTGTCATGTGAATAATGTACATAATGCTTGTGCTGGTTTTCAGCTTTATTTCCATACGAAATAATCAATGTGAGAAAGTTATACAACAGTAGAAGACTACAACAGTATCCCAACAGTCTATCTTTGGTGGTACATGTGACTGAAAAAGCTTCTGCACAGAGCTGAAAGAAGAATAGATTTTGTTTCTCTCTCTGCTTCTGTTGATTAAAAATATCCAATCATAAAGACATCGAGAGCAATGCAGCTGAATGAAGCATGATGACCACTGCTGTGAGGAAAGGACTGTCACACACAAAAGCTGAGGTGAAAAATCAATGAGAAGATGTTCTAGTGCAGACCTACTCTGTACTATGTTACCTGTCTCGCTCTCCGTCCTACAGACGACAATATCAAGAAATCTGCAAACATTTGTGTTGTTTTAGGAGTTTTCAAAAGTCAGTTACAGGACATGGGTACAATAAACAACAAAGATATTTATTTTTCTTTCTTTGAAGAAGGCCCAAAGGCAGACATAACAAAGTGAGGAGATCGTTCATCTTGGCGCGCCACTGAGTCAAGCGCACCCGCCCTGCACGCATTGATTATTTTCATTACCAACATTGTATTGCCAAATGAAATCTATTGATACAACTGGGACCTCCCCTACGTTTGCTGTACATTCACACACCTTGTAGAACAGTTTAGTGTGGAAAAAGTAGTGAAGGTGGAGCTGAAAAGCTGAGCCACAAAAATTATATATATATATATATATGTATATATATACACACACATACATATATATAGACATATGTACATATATACATATATATTATATATACATATATTATATATCCATCCATCCATTCGCTTCCGCTTATCCTTTGCAGGGTCGCAGGGGG